TGTATGTATGTATGTATGTATGTATGTATGTGTATATATATATATATATATTTGTTTTCTTATATATATATAAGAAATATATATATATATATAATATTTCTTATATATATATATATATATTAATGTGATAATGAACTTTGACCACAGAATAAAATTGATAGGAAACCAGTTCACAAAAACACATGTCAGTCCAGTGTCTACACACATTTTCCAACATGAGAAAATATACATGTCATTGTACCTTATGTTTAAGTAACTCTGTAATTCTCCCCATATTAAATATTTCTGATTTTTAATATATAATTCAAATGTAGATAGATATATGTCTTTAAACTGTATTGAATTTTGTAACACAGATTAAGAAATCTACCATTATTAAAAGAGAATAGGACAGTGGTGAAGATTTCCTACGATTAAATATTCCCTTTGTGGAATCCTGGAAGAGTGGTTTGTGCTCCAAGCTTTAAATTAGCTTTGTTTCAAAGGAGTGCAAGACCAAGCATCAATGCAGATGTCTGTAGAATCTAGTGGTTTCATCAAAATGATAAAGCAAATAGAGTAATAGTATGACTTAAATGCTCCCTGGAGTGAAATTGTGAAATTGTACAAAAATCTCTCTACGGGAGATACTGAAGGGAAAAACTACAGGCACAATGAAAAAGTTAATATGTGGCTTTCTGATATCATGGCAGTAACCTGGATGCATTTTTGGTAATGGAATTACTAAATTCTATTGTATTTCTTGGATGGACTGGACTGCTGCAGTGCTTATTTGGAAACTACTGTGACAGAAACTACTGTGACAGCGTTTATACATGTTATAAATCACTTTATGAAAATTCTAGTTTTGCTGGCAATATATTGAAATTTAAAACTATCTTCGTTATTATAAGAGGAACTTTAACATCTGAAAACTGCAGAATAGCAATTTTAATTCATTTCAGTTAAAACATCTTTTGGTACTACAATTGGATCATAGGCATCCGCAGCATCCAAAGTACTCAAAATTATTGCCAGTATTGAAATGAGTTTAGGATATTAAATACAAGAGTATTTTAATACCCACCACTAAGGTGGATATTAATTAGTTGCAAGAACTCTGGAATAAGAACTTGGAATATCTCATATTAAGAAATCTGTACTTAAAGAGTAAAATGTTAAAATGTTATAGCGTCAAATTCAGACCAATTCATTAAATTTTTCTTTTGTATGTATTAGTCAACCTAGGTCTAATTAACAAAACTTGACTGTCAACCTTTATTTATTTATTTATTTATTTATTTATTTATTTATTTATACATACATACATACATACATACATACATACATACAATGTAACCAGAATAAAAGAGTTGGACTTGGAAGGGATCTTGAAGATCTTCTAGTCCAACCCCCTTCTCAAGCAGAATCCTACACCATTCCAGACAAATGGCTACCCAATCTCTTCTTAAAAACCTCCAGCGGGCTTCCGGTTTGAGCTTCACGGACAGAACGAAACCGCAATCGTGCGTGCTTTCAATCCATGCTCGCTGCTGGAGTGCCCCGAGCCGGCTGGTTTCAGGGCTAAGCCACCCCGTAGAGGTGGTGAAGAAGGGGGAGACTGCCAGCAGGGTTGAGGAGAGCCGCGCCTCTCGTCCTCAGCTGGCCATTACTCCCTTTCCCGAAGGTGGTTGCAGCGGTGGTCAGAAATGGCCACCTCAAAGAAGAACTCGACCGGAAAAGAATGTGCAGGAGGATGATAAGAAGAGAAAGTCTTGGTTGACCGGGTTAAACTGCAAAAGCAACAACTAAGGTACCCTGGAATTTAAACTACAAAAAAAAAAAAAAGTAACATTCCTAAAAAAGACTTTGAAGCAGCGAAGGAGAGAGAAGGGAAAGGATTTGGTTTTTCTCTCTCTCTCCCTTTCTTCATATTGACAGCTAAGAGGTTTAAGCAAGAAATTGGAAAAAAATCCACTTTGACATCAATAGGCATTGAAGCTGAAAATAAAATGTCAAAGGGATAATAAAGATCTCTGGATACTTAAATCTTTTAAAAGCAGGAAAGGAGAGAAAAAGAATAAAATGGCAGGATCTGTAAAAAAGGGAGGAGACTGCCTGGAATTAAAAGGAATTTACAGTAAAACTTTAACAAGACTTCTAAAAGATACATTTTAACTGAAACTTGGCAACAAAATAGTAGAACCCCAGGAAGAGAAAGTGGAAAAAAGAAGCCAAAAGAAACAGCTTGGGAGTATTTGGATTACTTGGTGATCTCTGGATTTTTGGTTATTGCATTTGAATGACTAAAATCAATCGGGTGGTTGTTTAAAAGTTTTTAAAATGGCACCACTTTTAGAAGAATTGAAGATGGAACTTAAAAAGTATAAAGAAGATGCACAAGAAGGAAGAAGCTCTTTTGGCTTCTCATTTCAATTTTTAGAAATGGAGATTTGGAACTATGAGAAACAACAAGAAACTCCTGCAGAACAAGAAGATTGGGACAAAGAAGAAGCCATCTTTAATGAACGAGTAATTTTATGTGGGGAAGGAAAAGGAAGGGGGGGAAAGAGAATGGAGAATTTAAGATTCTGGCTTTCTGTGACTAAATCTTTGGACTGTTTAAAGAAGTGATAGTGGATCAAGAAATATTGGTGGCTCTTTTCTGTGGTTCATTACCACGATTCACGCCATGTTAATTACGATTTCTGGTTTGTTCCTCTCAAACTAGCTAACAATCCGAAGGCAAGAATTAATTAACCATGATTTCCAGCTTTGGCTTGTTAGAATATTATGAGTCTGAGTTTATATGCTTTACAGAGCCCAAGGTTTGCTTAGCTAGAAATTGCAGTCACAAAAATATTTTGTTCATGTTCAGTATAAATTCTGTGTTACTGTATTGTGTAAACATACCCTGCATGAGTGTATATGTTTGATCTGACTTCATGTGTTCTGTGAACTTGGCTGATTTATTTAATTAATGTTAAAAAAAAAAAGGGCTGTTGGGAAATACCACAATGAAACCTATAAGCCAGCGTTGGCAAATCTTTTTGGCACCGAGTGCCAAAACGGGAGTGCATGCATGTGTGTGTGTGGGAGTGCTGGAAACCAGAAGAGTATGCATGCCGGAAACCCGAAGCTCAACTTCCCGGCACACACATGCGCGCCGGGGAGCTGCTCTGCTGGTTTTCGGCACTCCCGCACCGGAACCCCAAAGAGCAATGGGCGACGGCTGGCGTGCCCGGAGAGATGGCTCTGCGTGCCACTTCCGGCATGCATGCCATAGGTTCGCCATCATGGCTATAAGCCATTCAGGTGAGCTTAACTCTCTCAGGGCTTTTAGAAAATCAAAAAGGCAGTTTCAGTCTCATCATTAAGAAGAACAATCCATAGTAACAATGAAGCAGTAATTATTGCCTGGAGTAAAGTGGGTTGTGAGCAAAGATTGATCTGACTAGGAAGTTAACCATGCTGCTGCTTGTAATGATAATCCGCCAATAAAACTGAGGAAAGGAATTTTGAGAATAATGATATTCCCAAAGTGCAAGGATTAACTCGATATATATCTTTATCTCTTATACCTACCTCAAACTTCTGTTCATTTTAAAGCTAGACTGGATCTAGGCCCCATTTCAATCACTGATGCTGAACTCAAACATAATAATTGTTTTCCTGGAAACAATATGGAAATGTTACACCACTTGAGGGATATACCCCAATCTCTCCGTCTAAATTAAAGTGATGGGATTAGTATTGTAGGCTGTCCTATGTCCCTTGGTTGGGCCTTGCTGGATGATGATGTAATGAAAAGACTTTGAGCAATTCCTATTATGGCTCTATAAATCTATCTATCTATCTATCTATCTATCATCTATCTAGTAGATCTTTGTTATGTCGAATAGACTGGGCCAGGCCTTAATGGCCCATTAGCAAAGGTGTGTGTTGGGACGTGACTTTCTGCCTCTCTGAGTTTCTACTTCTCTTTTAGGGGAAATATTCTGCCTTTTTAGTATATCCTAAAATATTTCAATTTTTTTAGGAAGGGGGTGGGTTTTAACTTCCAATGCTAATTTCACAATTGCAATGATTCACTTAAAAAGTGTGACAAGAAAGGCTGTAAAATGGGGCAAAATTCACTTAACAAATGTCTCGCTTAGCAACAGAAATGTTGGGGTCAATGGTGACCATAAGCCGAGAACTACCTGTACAAGATAGGTATAGCATTTTCTGTTGAAATCTCCCAGTTTCTCTGAATGGTCAAAATACTTAACATGTTTTGGATGGAGCTGAGCGTTTACTGGCTGGCTGCCCTTTCTGAGGTCATGCAGAGTTTGGATCAGATATTTTTAGGAGATAATTACTTCTAATGTTACTCATTAGAGTAAACCCTGAGATTATCATGTATAAAAGCAGCAGCTAAATTTATAAATGACCCGGTTCAAATTATTATGGGAAATAATTTGTTAGTATGTTTTGTTAGTAGTCTACAGCTGGTATTCAGCAGGTTCTGACCAGTTCTGGAGAACCAGTAGCCGAAATTTTGAGTAGTTTGGAATACTACCTCTGACAGGCCCCGTCCCCATCTGTTCTCTGTCTCCCAAGTCCCAGCTGATTGGCTGGGTCTTCTTTTGTTCCCCTGCACAGGAGAATGGAGCTGAAAAGCAGGTTAGTGGGGTGGGGAGGGAATGGAGATTTTGAAGTATCCTTCCCCTGCCACGCCCACCAAGCCACGCCCACAGAACCGGTAGTAAAAAAAATTGAATCCCACCACTGTAGTAGTTTGCTCTTCTTCTCTTGCTAATCTTAGTTCATTTGAAAGAATTAAAATGCCTTCAACGCTGTGTTATCTATAGTAATGATGCATGGGATGGCATTGATCCACTTTATACCACGACTTAGATGTACTCACTATATGTAACCCGCTCCACAAGACCATATTTCTAAAGTCCTACGAGAGAAAATGAGTTGGTGACTTTTAAATTAAACTTTTGCAGCTGAAACTATATTAATTGCATTTTCAGGCGTGAAACCATAATGGCGGGCAACAGTTTGGTCCTGCCAGTCGTGCTGTGGGGACGCAAAGCTCCTACTCACTGTGTATCCGCTACGCTATTAATGGACGATGTTTCTATGATCATCACAGGATGTCACGATGGGCAGATATGTCTATGGGATCTCTCTTCCGATTTAGAAGTAAGTTTAAATCGTGGAATTAAAACATTTTTCAGTATAATACATGTTTTATTTGAAACATCTTAGAAATACAGTTTAAGTACATTTCTATTCAGTTCACTTTGAATTGGGTACATGTTTTGTAATTTGTCGAAAAGGCATTGCTAAGAGTATCTATGCATTTCCTGGGAAAATCCTTGCATCCTAAGCAAGAACACGTCAATATATGCTATTAATATTCATAGGGTTGCTTTTGTAGGGCTGCTGATTTAAAAAAAAAATCATTAAATCATGGAAAATCAATGAACTCTTTTGAAAAGTGACTCTGCGGGGCTTCCTTTCTCCCATGACCCTTTGGAGGTCAACATGCTTAGATTAATTTGAAAAGAATAAATACTTTTAGAATGTACCGTTTGTTTCTCCAGTCCTGCTTCTAAAACCGTACTACTGATTTATTTATTTCTAAGGCATGCAGAGTGCTTGTAATTTGGACCGACCCTTTGAGCAATTTTGACATCCAAACAAATAACCTAGAGTGTGAAATCATTATTGAATACTTTTATATCCCTTTTTTGTTCAATTTATATAGTCAGATATTACGTTCAGTTGCATTTGCAGCATCTTCATGAAGAAACGAATGTTTTAACTTATTAGTGAATTTATGAATGATATCTATTCTGGTAAAGTGAAATAACTTTCAAGAATATATTTTCTGTTTTCTGCTTGTGACATTAGATAAGAAAGAAGAAGGTGGCTAATCCCATACAAAGTTTGAGTAAGCTATTCCCCCAGTTTTAATTTGTTCTCCATTTGGGGGGAAAAACTTGTAAAATATTTCTTAGCAAATACCTCCTAGCAGTGTGATTGCACTGGATCCTTTTGTTTCCCACACAATGAATAGTGCCTAATTGTGGTGCGGTGGCCCAAGGTGGAGCTCTCACCTCACATTCGGGAGGCTGTGAGTTCAGTCCTAGATAGAGGCAGATATTTCTCTCTGGGCATGATGATAATATAACTGCTGAATATAACTCCGCATTAGCGACAGGAAGGGCATCCGGCTAGTAAACACTCAGCTCCATTCAGTTGTCCAAACTCCACCCCGCAAGGGATTATGGGATCATTAAATTATGATGATGAATAGTGCCTAATTGGATGCTGTTTTGGAGTGCAAAACACAGTGTCAAATATAGCTCCAAGAGACTATCTTGATCATCTTTCATATATTGGACCAAAGCCTTCTGTTTTCATGAATTGTAAATAAATCAACCCATGGAACTGCCTTGCAACAAATATTCATTACCTTTAATATAATTTTTGAAAGAGCAAGATGAATGATGTTTATCTGGCAGAGGATTTGTGTGATGCATGCCTTTTATTTGGAATAATTAAAGCTATATCAAAGCCCTTTGTTGCAGTAAATTATTCACCTTCTATAGTGTTGCCATCAGACTAAAGACCTTGAGAATTGGATCGCTTCCTAAATAGTACCTTACAATTTCGGAAAAGAATATAAATGTTCTTAATAGTAGATCACAACTTTGGAATATCTATTGCCAAATTGACAGTCTTCATGTTTGAATGACTCGTGCGACCTACTTTTACATTATCTTAAAGAATAATTTTCTCAACTTTTCATACTTTGTTTTTTCAAATTCCTGGAGATAGTAATTATTTACTCATAATGGGGGAGTAAAAGTATGAAAAGTTTACAAACGTGTGTATTATTCTCATGCCTTTGACAGTGCTTTCAATTTTTTTAAAATAATATTTGAAATTGCTCAAAGTTATTTGTTATTTTTTTTCTCCCTGATTCTAGATTTATCCTAGAGCTTTGTTATTTGGTCATACAGCATCAATCACTTGTTTATCCAAAGCCAGTTCTTCAAGTGAAAAACAGTATATAGTGAGTGCATCTGAAAGTGGGTAAGGATTTGCTTTTGAGCCAAATTTTCTATTGATGACTGAATTATTTTAGGTCTCTTATAATACAGTATAATACAGTATTATCTTAAAATCTGCTTGAGCAATATTTTTTGCTTTCATAGGCAATCCAAGTATAATGTCATGCCCCTGTTAGAATTTAACTCCGAGGGAGAGGAGGAACAGCCGACAGGGAGTGGAAGTGGAAGTGTGGCTCCGGAGGTTGTGGAGGAAACTGGGGAAGGGCACAGGCCGGCTGGGCATTCAGAGGAAGACCCAGGCCCATACCCTCTTCATCCTAGGGCACGCAGGGAAGAGCGGATAAGGGAGAAATGTGAATGGCGTGGTCTACGGGGGTGGAAAGGGCCCTGATCCCCTTCATGGGCTGCAGCTGTGAGGACTGTTTAAAAGTACAAACTGCGCATGGCCCAGTGCTGGAAGCAAAGCGTGAAAATATTTCTAGTCTGTCTGTTCTTATCTGAGTTCTGACGTCCTTCCCAGTGTGTGTATTTCGATATCTGTGGACATCTTCAAGCCCTTATCCTGCCTTGTCTCATTAATTGCTTCAGTGTGGTTTGTGTTGTTTTTTCCTATTTATAATTTATATGTATTTTGAGTTTGAGCGGAATTTCTTCCTTTTCGCAACTGTTTGCGGGGGAGTTTTTTCTCCAGTCAATGATAATTGGACCTTTGAAGCCAAGTTGAAGAAATTAAAGGTACCTCACCTGTTTTTGTGACTTTTATATCCCACATATAATTTCTGCATCATCCTTCTACATCTCTCCTTCCTAAAGTGATATATCGATAAACAATTGTGGGGTAGGGACAGTACCAAATAATGATTGCTTAACATTCATACCTACTACATTGCCTTTTTTTTCTTCCTGTAGAGAAATGTGCCTTTGGGATGTGAACGATGGAAGGTGCATTGAATTTACAAAATTAGCCTGCACTCATACTGGCATACAGGTAAATACTTTTAATATGGATTACACTACAGGTAGTCCTCGATTTACAGCAGTTCATTGAATGACTGTTCAAAGTTACAATGGCACTGGAAAAAAAGTGACGTATGTTTCACAGTTACGACCATTGTGGCATCCCCATAAATCCTGTGATCAAAATTCAGATGGTTGGCAGTTGGTTCATACTTATGACCTTTGCTGTGTCCCAAGGTTCAGTGATCCCCTTTTATGACCTTCGGACAGGCAAAGTCAATGGGGAAATCCACAGATTCACTTTAACAACTGGGTTACTAACTTATCAACTGCAGTGATTCACTTAACAACTGGCAAGAAAGGTCATGATATGGGACAAAACTCACCTAACAAATGTCTCACTTAACCACAGAAGGTTTGGGCTCCATTGTGGTCATAAGCCGAGGACTACTTGTAGCTATGTATAATATAAATATAAACGAATATGTAGGCTTCAATGTATAAAATTGCTTTTGAGCTTTGCTTTAATCTGATATGGTTTCAAGTGACTCAAGTACACAATCCAAGTATATCTGTATTAGATAAGTATTTTTATGTAATGAAATATTTGAAAACTAAAACCATTGATAATCTTTGGGAGAATTGGCAAAACAACCACAAAGAAATAAAATTATGGCTATATTGTGAGACAGTTAAAGGCACCTGTTTTTGCTGTCTTTTAGGAGCCAGCTGGAATGCAGAAATAGTGAAAGTCAGGTAATTTGTTATAGGGTAAATTTGATTTAAATAAAATCAATTTAAATATCACTAGTCAGGAAAACTCAGTTTAATTATTTCCTGGGCCAGGAAGATTCCATTAATCATTATTTTCTTCTCAAAATATTTGATACAACCTTACTATATACTCAGAAAAAGAAGTAGCTTTCAGTATTAGGTGGTAGGCCACATTTTTACATTAATTTTCATTAAATTCATTAACAGGATTGATGGTTTTAATCAGGAATGTTTACCATAATTATTGTTCTAAACAGTTGTATGAGTTTTGCAAAAAAAGGTGGCTGCTTTTAATTGTTCAAAAAGAGGTAGTCCTGCATTTTGTTCAGTACCTCTTTGAGCACTGTCATCTATCTTTTGCATTTTCAATGGTTAATTCTTTCTGAGCTAGGTTGATTTTTAACAAAATGTTTAAAGAAAAACTTGCAGATCTAATGCAAATTCTAAAAAAATGGTGTCAATTTACCTTTTAAAAATCATTTGTTTTTAACTCCCTTGGTTTGATTGCTGGGAAAAATGACCAAGCAGTTGCGAGCATGCATGATACTTAATAAAGAAAACCTGATTATCTGGCATTTGGGATACCACACATTAGCCTGGCTCTAATGTCCTTTTTCCATTCTCTTTTAGTTCTATCAATTCACAGTTGGGACTCAGCGTGAAGGGAGATTGTTGTGTCATGGCCATTATCCAGAAATTCTTGTTGTGGATGCTACCAGCCTTGAAGTTCTTTATTCCTTGGTGTCGAAGATTTCTAAGGACTGGATCAGTTCTATGAGCATTATTCGATCTCATAGAACACAAGGTGAGCCAATAACCATAGTACAGGTTCTTATTTTTCAGGAATTTTCTTGGCAACCATAAATAATAATAATAACATATGAAACTTGTATGCCACCTGACTTCAAAAAACTCAGGCTCCCAACAATCCAAGACGTTATAGTGAAAGATAAAAGATGGAAAGAAGTGAGGGGCTTCATCATCCCTTGTAAAAGTCCTGGGTGAAACAATAATAAAGAAACAAATTAATAAATCATTTTTTAAAAAAGCAAGGCAAGAATCAATTCAGTCACATCTAAATTTGGCTTTGCCCAATTCTTGCTGATCCAAGAAATCATATGCTATTTCATTTACATGATTTTGCATTGTTTTATTATTGTATTTAGATTTAGATTGTGTACTGTAAGCCCTTCAGGGTCATCTAAGTAGTTAACATACAACTATTGGCAATAAATTCATGTAAAACAATGTTAGAGTGTAATCTTACATTTAAAGCCAAGATTAAGGAATGCTATGCATATGCTGAATCTGTGACAACCAATGAAATCACTCAACAAAAACCCAGTCTCCATCTTCAATCCAAAATTTGAAAGAGGAGGAGCCAGAGGAATTCTGGGCCATAAGCAATTCCATAACATAAGAACAGCCATCAAAAGGCTGAGGTTTTCATCCGTCACTGATGGATTAGTCATTGCACCTTATGCTTAATGAGGAATGAGAAAATGTCAAGAATATAGGGAGTTGCCTTAAATCAGGGGTGTCAAACAAAATTTTACTGAGGGCAGCATCAAGGTTGTGTTTGACCTTGGGGGGCCAGGGTGGGTGTGGCCATCTCGACATCACTGTTGGGGGTGCCTGTGGTTGCCTGAGTGCTCTGCTAACAAAACGGGTCCCCGAGCTCAGTTTTCAGCTGCAACGGCCTCCTGCAACCCTTTGCCAGCAAAAACGGAGCTCCCAAGTTCTGTTTCCACTGGCAGAGGCACCATAGGCCGGTCCTTCGCTGTTTCCAGGGTGGCCCTGTGGGCCAGATCTAAGCACCCCGCTGGCCGGATCTGGCTCCCTGGGCCTTGAGCTTGACAACCCTGCCTTACATCAAATCAGATCTTTGTTCAGTTTCATTTGGCTCAGGTAGCTGCCCATCATAGGTTGAACAGAATATTTTGCTTCTGAGACTGGATCTAGAATCCTTTGTATGTCAAGAAATTGGTTTTCCAACATCGTATGTAATTCCCTTGAGCTTCTCAGCTCATGAATGTGACCTAAAATAGATGCATTTCTTAGGTTTTATCCTCAGCATCTTCTTTTCATTGCGTGGGTCAGATAAATGCTACTGAATTTATGAAATAATTCTGACTGTGTGTCTTGTGGGACAATGATTATTTTTTTCTTCTCTAGAGGACACTGTTGTAGCAGTATCTGTGTCTGGCATTCTTAAAGTATGGATTGTAACTTCTGAACTGAGTCACATACAGGTAAGAAAAAACAAATATAGTTTTATGGTGATGAACTTCTTTTTTTCCAGTATTGCCAGTCTGATTGACTTATTTTTTTCACTGCTGTGTTACCCTTGAAAGGTTTTTAGCAGTACTTCTGTTTCTGCTCAGATATGCTATCCCTGATGCCCGACGGCTATTTAAAATTTGTTGAGTGGGAGGTTTGTTTGCTTTTCCTACGCTATGATTAGAGTACATTCATTTAGGCCAGGGGTGGCCCATGGGCTGGATGCATCACGTGCAGGCCACGCCCACCCCAGCTCCGCGAAAGGGAAAAAAAATGTCGCGATACATAATGTGACACTGCAAGTGTCAGCTCATAAAATATTTCTATGACCTTTTTAGATTTTCCCACAAGAAGGGGGAGCAGCCGCTTGCAAACCGAAACTGCATTCCATAAATGTTTTCAAAGATAGTAACTAGGTGACCGAAGTTTCTGCCGTGCAAAATTCTAACTGGAGAGCATGATTGATGACTCTCGGCTACAGATGTGTCCCATTGGAGAATATGAATTACGATACACCCAGTGGGTGAGGGAAAACCAGGGTCAAGGGTGACAGTGAAGGATGTGTCTCAGAGTCGGCTACACCCAGGCAATGCTGGACCTTTTAACTCCCAATAAATCCTTTTTAAGTTTTGGAAGTTTGGCTTGAGGCTCATGATTTAAATGGGGGTAGCTGCTGGAGCCTTGACAGCAAGTTTGACACCCATGATTGATGCGGACTGAGAAAATTTGAATATTGTAAACTGTGGATTAAATGTGGATTCACTTTTCAGTTTCAATTTTAGTTCTTCAGTTCTTGCCCTTTATATTTTACCTATTTCAAGAAAGGAGAATTCATTCTTATCATGTTTCTAGGGCTCAGTTTCTCCCCAACAACAGTTGAATTGAAAATACGATTTTGTATACTGTAATGGAATTTTAAAACGACATACTGCATTTAAAAATGAGAAATACACACTTCCAAACGTATTTGTATTTTGAAAGCAATCCTTCAAGCTAAGATTCAAGGCTGGAAAAAGAATGGGACAAAGAGAAGTAGAAAAGAGCAATTTAGAAAGGAGGAGTAGAGAAATAGAAATTGTATTGTGGGTTATTGCATAAAAGCCTTTAAATTTCTCCTTACTTTTAATCTCTTCCAAGGATACGGAACCAATCTTTGAAGAGGAATCTAAACCAATTTACTGTCAGAACTGCCAGAGCATTTCCTTCTGTGCATTTACCCAAAGATCACTTTTGGTAGTTTGTTCTAAATACTGGAGGGTAAGGATAACCAGTTAAGTGAAAGCTGGCATTTCTTTGTTGTTCAGTCTGCTGTAGTTAAATTGTGCATGAGGCAAACATGCAAAAAAAATATCTCCAGACGGCCGGACTCTAAATTGATTAGTCTACGGTGATTTCTCTGCATAGCTAATTGCCTCAGGGTGCTTGAGCTCACATAGTTGCTGGACTGCTATTTTTACAGAAAACTACAACCATTTAGCCAGACGTTAAAATAATATTTAATAGGATATTCACAATGCTTCTGTTTTCAGACTTTTTCCTTTAATTTTGTTTTTAGAGAATTACTTCTGATACCGAATATATATTTTTTTGCAATGTTTTTGCGTCCTGCCTCCTTGTATGGCCTGTCATACATGAGAATGATATACTTTTTTCCCTGAAGGTTTTTGATTTGCTGAATTGAAAAGTTTTATTGATTGTTTATATTTTTTTTTGTGTGTTTCTAAAAAATGTTCTTTAGGTACCCTAAAGGTGTAAATTCCATTGAGTGTCTTTTGCTTTTTTATATTGAAAGGGTTTAATAAACAAATGCATTTTTTATTAAAAAAAAACACTAATTGCAGCCACTATAAGAAAGGCTATTTGTATTTACATTTCTTAATTTACAATCAATTTATGTTATGCAGTTACTTTTCTTTAGGTCTTTGATGCTGGAGATTATTCCTTATTGTGCTCAGTCCCAAGTGAAAATGGACAGACATGGACAGGAGGTGATTTTGTGTCAGCAGACAAAGTGATAATATGGACTGAAGATGGACAAAGTTTTATATATAAACTGCCAGCCAGGTATGTGATATTAATAGGGCATAAATAACTAAATAAATAAAGATTACTGTCTAGAATTTTGTGTGTTCAAATAGAATGAGGGATAGTGATACTAATAAATTAATTTATCAAACCATACATTTTTTTTACTGATCTGTCATTAGAACAGAGACCAGATTTGGTGGTATGGTTAAGGCATCAGGCTAGAAGTCAGGGGCCATGAATTTAGTCCTGATTTAGGCACCAAACCAGCTAGGTTACCTGGATCTAGTCCCTTTCTCTCAGCCCTAGGAAGGAGGCAATAGCAGTTCCTGAAAACCTTGTCAAGAAAACTGCAGGAACTTCCGGTTTGAGCTTCTTCGGCGACAGACCGAAACCTCGTTTCTGCGAGGCTTCGATCCATGCTTGCCGCTGGAGCGCCCCGAGCCGGCTGGTTTTGGGGCTAAGCCACCCCGTAGAGGTGGTGAAGAAGGGGGAGATTGCCTGCAGGGTTGAGGAGAGCCGCATCTCTCCTCCCCAGCTGGCCATTACTCCCTTTCCCAAAGGCAGTTGTAGTGGTGGTCAGAAATAGCCACCACAAAGAAGAACTCGACCGGAAAAGAATGTGCAGGAGGAAGATAAGAAGAGAAAGTGTTGGTTGACCGGGTCAAACAGCAAAAGCAACAAATAAGGTATCCTGGAATTGAAACTATTTAAAAAAAAAACAATAACATTTTTCCCTAAGAAGATTTTTAACCTGCGAAGGAGAGAGAAAAGGGAAAAGATTTGGTTTTTTTTTTCTCCTTTTCCTATACTGACAGCTAAGAGACTTAAGAAAGAAATTGGAAAAAAATCCACTTTGACGTTAATAGGCATTTAATGCTGAAAATAAAAAGTCAAAGGGATAATAAAGATTTCTGGATAATCAAAAGCTTTTGAAAACAGGAAAGGAAAGAAAAAGAATAAAAGGGCAGGATCTGGAAGGGAGGAGACTGCCTGCAATTAAAACGAACTTACAGCAAAATCTCAACAAGACTTCCAAAAGATACATTTTAACTGAAATATCGCAACAAAAACCCCAGGAAGAGAAAGTGGAAAAAGAAATAAGAAGAAATAACTTGGAACTATTTAGATTACTTGATGATTTCTGGATTTTTGGTTATTGTATTTGAATGACTAAAATCAATTGGGTGGTTGTTTAAAACTGTTTAAAATGGCTCCACTTTTAGAAGAACTGAAAATGGAACTTAAAAAGTACAAAGAAGATGCACAAGAAAGGAGAGGTTCTTTTGGCTTCGTATTTCAATTTTTAGAAATGGAGATTTGGAATTATGAGAAACAACAAGAAATGCCTGCAGAACAAGAAGATTGGGACAAAGAAGAAGCCATATTTAATGAACAAGTAATCTTAGGTGGGGGGAAAAAAGGAAAGGGGGGAAAGAGAATGGAAAGTTTAAGATTGGGAAAAACAACTTCCCCCCAAAAAATAGAGTGAAAAATAAGTATAAAATCAGAAAGCAACAGAAGAGGGAAATGCAGAAGAGAGAATTAGAAGTAGAGAGACAAGGGGGTAAAAAGGGGATGGAGAAGAAGAGAGGGAAGAAAGAAAGGAAAAGAAGTTATAAAGGACAGAAACAAAATATAGAGAAACAGGGCCTATTTAGAGATAATGGGTGAAAATTTAATGGAAAAAGGGATTCTGCAAAGGTACATAAGATAGTATTGTTATATTAGAAACAGAAATAATTTTTAGAAAATATGAAACGATGTATAATTAAATGTTTGATAAAATAGCTATCGTAATTCAGTGGAATGCTTGTTAATAAATAAATGTAACAAAATGAATATTTAATGATTTACAAAACATGTGAAAAGAAATAAGGGAAAAATTAATTATGGAGATTATATGTGTCTTTAAGGAAGTATGATATTTAATTGAAAAGAAGTCTGAAAGATGTTAAGATTTTAATGATTATTAATGATAGAACTGAATTGGAATGGAATGAGGGTTTATAATTACATATATTTATAATCTTTTTTTAAAAAGAATATAGTGTGCATTATAAGAATGTACCAAGCAGAATTCGATTGGAAGTTATGTATTATGTATTATATTGAAGGTCATAACCTTAAGGTATATATTGAAGTTTAAATAAGAGTTGAATGGATGTAATTAAAAGATATAAAGGTGTCATACTCCAATTAGTAACTACAGAAGAAAATTTGCAGAGATTACTTTTGGCAGTCTCTGAGAAAACTGCAGAGATTACTTTTGGCAGTCTCTGATTATAGCAATAGCACTTAGACTTACATACTGCTTCCTGGTGCTTTACAGCCCTCTCTAAGTGGTTTGCAGAGTCAGCATATGTCCCCCCAAGCAATATAGGTCCTCATTTACAGACCTTGGAAGGATGGAAGGCTGAGTCAACCTTGAGCCAGTGAGAATCAAACTATTGGTAGTCAGCAGAATTAGCCTGCAATACTGCATTTTAACCACTGTTCCACCATGGCTCCTTGGATGTGTCTGATTGGAAGAACAAAAAACATTTTAAAAAAAATAGAATGTATCACAGTACTCTGAACTTGGACATCATAGGAAACTGGGATCAGCTCTATTTCTTTAAATGTGCAGGATAGGATTTCTTTTTATGTGCCAAAAAGGAGAGGAACTGTGACAGAGATAAATAAATATGTTTGAACTGGCTTTATTATGCAGTTTGTGAAGCTGAATGGATAAAGTTCATATTGTCAGTGTGTAGGTGATTAGCTTTTTACATTTCCCTGTGAGTAGTTAAATTTAGATCTGCAGAAATGTATTGTTTCTACCTCTTTGATAATTTTGTCAACTTAATTAGGCAAACTGGCTCCTGAACTAGTCTTAAGTTTGGATAATGGCTTTTACCCTTATGTAGAGGATTGCTGTTAGATCATATTGTACAAATAGATCCCACATTTTAGAACTATTTTTCTTCTTGTGCTTTTCATGTGGATTTCCACATTATTTCCACATTTATATTTAAGATATTAAATATAACCCCCTCCCTTATTAACTCAGTGCTTTTCAGCCTCGCACTTTTAAGATGCCTGGAATAACTCCCAGAATTCCCCATCCAGGAATTCTTAAAGTTGCTGAAGTTAAGAAATACTGCTCTAATCGATCTAGTCGGTTATTATAATATGAATGCCAAATTTGCATTTTGGGATAGGTTTCTTAATTATTATATGAGCTGGTAGATATAAACTTTCTGGTTTGCAGTTGCTTACCAGCTAGCAAGTCATTTCGAAGTGATGTTGGAAAAATGATTGAAAACCTCAGTCCTCCTCAACTCTACTGTACTATAGACCAAGGAGAGCAGAAAGCAGACAAACAGGTAAGATTTGACCTGCTTTATTATTTAGAAGCTTTATTAGCTAAGAAGCTAATAATTTGAAACACTTTTGAGATTATGGACATGTTGCTGCTTACTTATATTTTGGTACCGATTTCATTTTTTGTCACTTAATATAAGAGTGCTTTCGACAGGGAGGTATATTCAGCAGTTTTGCAAATGTCCTTTTGGTATTCCTATTCTTCCAGATGTTTATAATAGTCTTGTTGATATACTGTATAATTACAGTGGGATACTTACTTTTTACATTATTTTTATTTTCATAGTTTTTCAGGTGCAGTTTATTAACACGTTCTTTTGGGCTGTATTACAGGGTGTTGGTGTTTTTATAGCTTTTAGTTTCCCCCAAAGATTCCAGATCTGTGGGAGATTGAAAAGCAAATAAACAGTGTTAGCTTTGCTTTGTATTTCTTTAATATGCCTTTTCTGCACACCATCTTGAAATTATATTGTGTATTGATTGTTTAAAAGAGTGATAATAATTGCTGACATTGAATAACCTCTGTCTTGCACATATGCTATATATTGTACATATATACTATATCTTGCACAAATATCTTCCACATATATAGTATATTTTGTAAGGTTAGGTATACATTGTCAGTTATTCCTTTTATAAGACTATGTTTCCTGACATTGTTCAGTTAACAGTCCTGAAATTAAGATCTCACATAAGCATCATAGCATGACACAGGCATGGTAGAATTGGGATCCAGATGAACAAGATTTTACTCTCCTTGTAAACTTATCTAAAATGCTGTTTTGTGTTTTGTTTGTTTTACAGTTATTAATCTGCCCTCCTGTCACTCAGTTCTTCTATGGACGTAGGGAGTGTTTCCATAAATTACTAATCCAGGGAGACTCTTCAGGGAGGCTCACCATTTGGAATATTCCAGATTCAGTTGACAAGGAAAATATGACTGAAGGTAATTGTTGTCACAGCAGGTAGCAGCCCCTGGTCCTGTAACTTTCAAGAAGGATCAGTCTTGGTTTCTATTTAGACAAAGAATCAGGAGACAGGAGTTCTTGGTACTGTCTGTGCTTAGTTGTTTGCTTGCAAATGTTTCATTACTCAACTAAGTCAGAGGTCCCCAACTCCTGGGCTGCGGCCCACTGGCGGACCGTGAGCTGTTTTCAACTGGGCCATGGAAATGGTGGGTGAGCCTGGGCAGACGTACAACCCCAATTGCGTGAGCAGCAGGTGAACGTGTGCACACATGCTCCATTTGCATGAGCAGTAGGCATGCGTCCACACCGTTGACAAAAATGGAGCTGCGCGGGTGCATGCTTGTTGGCTGCTTGTACAGAACCATCCCTTCCCCCGGTCCACAAAGCCCAAAAGGCTGGAGCACTCTGAACTAGGTAACCCTCCCACTGATATTATAACTTAGTTGGATAATGAAGATGTCTGCAAGCAAACAACCAAGCTCAGAGGGTACCAAGGACTCCACAGTTCCACCCAAAATTACAAATATTTTCTTTTATTAAGATCAGAAAATACCCAAGCTGGTAAGATGAAAACATATCCCCATAGACAAAGCCACTATCTCTGTTGCTGCCATCAAGAGTCAGGCTTCAGTTTATTTATTTTATTTATGTTGTCGAGCATGTATTAACCGATATAAGTATAAACATTATTAATACATGAAATGGGTAAGAATAAAAGAAACATTAGGACAAGGATGGTAGGCATGTTGGTGTGCTTTATGCACGCCCCCTACAGACCTCTTGGGAAAGGGGTGAGGTCAACAGTAGACAGTCTAAGGTTAAAGTTTTTTTTTTTTTTTTTTGAAGAAACCACAGAGTCAGGTAGAGCATTCCAGACATTGACCACTCTGTTGCTGAAGTCATATTTCCTGCAATCAAGTTTGGTGCGGTTAACTTTGAATTTGTATCTATTGTGTGCTCGTGTATTGTTGTGGTTGAAGTTGGACGGGTGGGACATTGCAATGGATAATTTTATGTACTATGCTTAGGTTGGACCCAAGTCGGCGTAGTAGTTGAGGGAAGCTTTATCTCCATTTTATCTGCAGATAAAATACAGATAAAGTTGAGGGAAGCATTATCTGCATTTTATATTTAATTACAGGAATTAGCAGATATGTTTGTCTTATCCTTCCTACTCCTCTGCCCAATCCTTCAGAATTCTTCACCATTGTTTACTACCCTACTCCTAGTAACTATAGCCAGTTTTCCTCCCCCAGTAAATCCCCTCCTTATTGCTTCATGTATTTATTTTTTATTTATTTGATTTGCCAATTGTTTACAAGATAATAAGTATAAGTGTATACATAGTTGTGAATACATGAAATGGGTACATATAAGAAAAATAAAAGAATAAGAGAAACAATAGGACAGGGACGGTAGGCACGTTGGTGCGCTTATGCACGCCCCCTACAGACCTCTTAGGAAAGGGGTGAGGTCAATAGTAGACAGTCTAAGGTTAAAGTTTTTGGGGTTTGGGGAAGAGACTACGGAGTCGGGTAGAGTATTCCAGACATTGACCACTCTATTGCTGAAGTCGTATTTCCTGCAATCAAGTTTGGTGCGGTTAACTTTGAGTTTGTATCTATTGTGTGCTCTTGTGTTGTTATGGTTGAAGCTGAAGTATTCACTGACAGGTAGGACATTGCAATGTATGATTTTATATACCATGCTTAAGTCAGACCGAAGACGGTGTAATTCAAGGCTTTCTAGGTCTAGAATTTCAAGTCTGGTGACATAAGGTATTCTACAACGAGTAGAGGAGTGGAGAACTCTTCTTGTGAAATATTTCTGGACTTTCTCAACTGTGTTAATATCAGATACGTAATGTGGGTTCCAGACTGATGAGCTGTATTCGAGTATTGGTCTAGCAAATGATTCAGAAAAGTAAATTCTAAACTGCTATGCAAGGCCACACACAATCTTTTTTTAAAAAAGATTTTGATTTAGTGAAAATTATCTACGGCATTGCTTTTTTCTAAGCCTTTCGTTTATTTTAATATTTTAAAAATGTATTTTGTTTTTGTTTGTTTTTTTAAAAAACAGGATTGCCGGTTACTACGACTATTTCTCTACAAGAAGCGTTCAGCAAACTTCACCCGGCTGGTATTATAGACCAGCTGAGTTTCATCCCAAATAGTGACGAGCCTTTGAAGGTGACAGCAAGCGTCTACATCCCAGCACACGGGCGACTGGTGTGTGGACGTGAAGACGGAAGTATTGTGATTGTTCCAGCCACTCAGACTGCCATAGTTCAGCTTTTACAAGATGAACACATGTGCAGAAGAGGTGTGTGAAATCATAAGGGCTCAGGGATGACCTGTTCAATCGTGGGCATTAAATTGGTTATCTGTATGGGTGGTCCTCGACTTACGACCACATTTTTGAGCCCCACATTTCTGCTGCTAAGTGAGGCATTTGTTAAGTGAATTTTGCCCCATTCTACGACCTTCCTTTTGTCATAGTTTTTGAGTGAATCATGGCAGTTAAGTTGGTGACGTGATTGTTAAGTGAATCTGGCTTCTCCATTGACTTTGTCAGATGGTCACAACGCTGGGACACTGCACCTGCCATAAATATGAGTCAGTTGCTAAGCATCTGGGTTTTGATCACTGGGATGCTGGAACGGTCGTCAGTGTGAAATACAGTTATAACTCACTTTTCTCAGTGCCCTTTGCAACCTTGAACTGTCACTAAACAAACTGTTGTAAGTCGAGGACTACCTGCATTCATATTCAACCGATCTAGAAAAGGTTGTTCCATTTATGCATGGAATAATTCTTGTTTGGATTCGTTAATAAATGTTAATATTTTTTTTTTAAAAAATTCAGGAATTATGCCGAAAGTACTTTTGAGTTTATTTCTGAATGATATTTCAAAGAGTTGAAAGCAGTTCATAAAAATAGATCTTAATTGTCATCATTTATTTTGCTCCAGTGTAAACTGAAGAGGGTAACAGGATCAGAATGCCCATGAATACTGTAGAGCAGTGGTTCTTAACCTTTTTGAAAGAATTGCCCCCTTGAGCCATTGAGGAAGTTATCATCGCCCCCCTCCCCCAACATAACCTCTCAGTCACAAAACAGGGAAATAATTCTTCAATTTATGCAAACACGTTTTTTGTTTTCTTTAAAATTGTCCTCAGGACATATCGATGCAAATAATTTATTCCCGGTCTTTTTCCCATATCTCAACTGTGTGAAAAATTCTGATGCTACCCATCACTTTACTCCCAAACTTCATGATACATGTATTTCATTATTATTTTATTTATTCAAGACACTTAATGCAATGACCACTGAAAACAAAATTCAATTGCAAGAAAATGAAATGTCCCAAAAACCCAGTAACGTTTAATGATTTAATTACAAGTGAATTTTAAGATGCAAAAAGAAATATAAAAAGGGCATAAAGAACAAACCGCAATGCAGTAACTAAAAATTTCAAGACGAAAACTCTGAAACTAAATTAAGATTCGAGGAAAATACATATTCATGCACACTGTAAAAAGGGTTAAAAATACACAAACAAAATTTTTACAGAAGGAAAGCAACAAAAATCAGAGCGACAAATTTAATGGGTAGAGTGATAGAGGCTGCTGTGCAACGCGCATGAAGATGAGCACATCGCATTCACATATTACAGCATTCTGTACTGAAGCTAGCTGGAGGAACATTTTAAAACGCAGTTCAATCCACTAAAAACGAGCAATCTGATGTTTTTGTGTGACAGATACACAGCAGTTCACTGTACTAAAAACGTCTCAAAGGTGTCCCCAAAACTTCTCGCTCTGTTGCCCCCATATCGTCCCCCTTCCGTTCCTTCACCACCGCATCGACCCTTTTCGTTCCATCGCCCCCCTGAAAAATGAAATCACCCCTTGGGGGGCATTATCGCCCAGGTTAAGAACCACAGCTGTAGAGCAGTGGTCGCCAACCGGTGGGCCACGGCCCACTGGTGGGCCGTGAGAAAATTTTGGTGGGCCGCAGAGAAATCTCACCCCCAGAGCACCCCCCCAAAGCGATTAATCCAGGCTGCGCAGAAACACAAGGCTGCTCAGTCCACGTGGCCCGTGGGAACCCTCCCCTCCCACTCACTCCTTACCCAGCAAACTTGTCTGCTAAGTTGCTATTTTTCCTTTTTCCGACCATCATCTGTTCTGCTCTGCCGGGAGATTTAGATTAGCTAGGAATCAGGAAATGGTTGGATTTCTTGCTTTCTAGCTAAGCACAGCCAAACCTCCCTTAGGACTGAAGGTTTGCATGCAAGCAAATTCAGTGCAGACTCATGGCAAGCAAATTTGAGAAACTGAACTAGTTGATGGCAGATAGATAGATCACTGAATGATTCTGTGAGCAACTCAATCTGCCTGCTTTGCCTGATTTTGGATAAAAGTTCCTCTTTTTTTAAATAAAAAAATTCAATATTTACATGCATGGTGTGTTGTGAGTTAATTTTATGAGTTTGCTTGCAAGCAAATTTTATGTGATAGACTAAGCTAGCCAATGGCAGATAGATATATTTCTGAATGAATCTGTGATTCTGTGAGCAACTCAATCTGCCTGCCTGCTTTGCCTGATTTTGGTAAAAGTTGCTCTATTTTTTATAAAAATTCAATATTTATATAAATATTTATAATATTTACATATAATCCATGCCCAGCCTGTCACATGACCAAGCCACACCCACAAATTAGGCCATGCCCACAGAACCAGTTAGTGTTCCCTGGGAACTAAAATTATGAGTTTGGTGGTCCCTGAGGTCCAAAAGGTTGGCGACCCCTGCTGTAGAGCACGGGTGTCAAACTTGCTGCATCACGTTGCTGTCACATAACGTGTCATGATGTTTTTTCCTTCGCTGAGCTGGGGTGGGCGTGGCCTGCACATGATGCATCCGCCCCCCTGGCTGCCAGTTTGAAACCCCTGCTGTAGTATATGTAATAAATCTGTTGTAGGACCATTCAATGATCATTGTTGCTTTTAAAGTTACAGCAAAGGTCAAAGATGAGAATCTAGAAATCTCCAGAACCATAAAGCCTACAAACTTGAAATTTGGCATGTATGTTACCCTTGGCTTCTAGGTGCTCACTAAGAAAGGACCATCAGAGCATTAATATATCGTATATTATTATTATTAACACGCTCTGATGCTAAGGAGTTTTACTCCCCCTCCCCACCTGAAAAGAAATCTGTTCCAAATGCAAAACACAAGCAGAGGAGAGGAGTTTCAGTTTTAGTTTCACAGTACCAAGCAGAACAGTTGAGCTAAACCATGCCCAGGCTCCTTGCTGTCTCCTTCTTGCTCACGTAGCAAATACTGCTTCAGTTTCTCAACTCTCTCACACACTGACAGGACACTAGCCGGATAAATAACGATGGATGCTATTAGGCAGAGGCACAATCCCCCCCCCCTTATTTTCCTCCCCAAAAACTAAGCCCGATCACATAGTTTCGTAGCGAAGCACGGGTGTAGAGCTAGTGTATTGATAATATCATCTTTGTGGTAGCAAAAAGGTACTTGGCCTATCAATGAATTTGCTGATGAATTTGATGATGATGATGATCTTCATCAACTTCATTTTCATCATCCCTGGAATAAATAATAGGACACTTGAATCAGTTGCTTCACATCCATAATTAAGTAAAAATAAACACATAAATGAATGGCTTTCAGGTAGTGAGTGAATCACCATGAACAAATTTATTAGAATGGAAGGTTACTTTGAATAACCAGTCCCTATGTTTCACTTAACAGAAGAATGTCAGACAACATGTACCATTCATCAAAGAGTATGCTTTGTACTGAAAACATGATACCTGTTTAAAGTATTTGCGGTGACTTCTTCTAAATCCCATTTAGAGAAGTCGTGCAACATGCTTTCCAGGGGTTGCCCTTGAAAATAACTCAAAAGCTGAAGCTAGTCGTGAACACAGGGATACAGTTCAGTACATTTGCATAATACGACTGCTTGACAAGCTACACTAGCTCCCACTAGTGCTTTGGTGTGCAATTTAAGATGCCGATTGTCATGTTGCAAAGCCTTTCAGGGCACAAGGTTGAGTTGTATGGAGACTCCAGTTATTTTTGCCTAATAGGAGGTATGTGTTCTCTTGGCAGTGTGTCTACTCTGTGGAGCAACATAGTCCTAAGATTCAGGTGGCCTTAATCCTATCTTCCTTATGGAAAACAATGTTTTTTCTCTTTAGCACAGTGCCACGATGTTAGGGGAGCCTATTTTGCTAGGGTGTTATTTGTGCAGATATACCAGGCAGGATGTGTTTTGTTTGCTTTTAACTGGATGTAAGCAGTCCAGAATCACAGACAAGTTGTTGGCAAGAGAAATAACTAAACAAATTAAATAAATAAGGTCTTTTAAACAGTAGCCATCTTCAATCAGCATGATTTTCAACCAGTCCTTCTCATAGTTTTTCATTCTGTTACAAAGGTTTCTAATTTGGATACTACTTACTTCTGTGAAGATATTTTCCATTTTCCTGAAGGAGGACAGTATTACTTTCACCCTTTTGTTTGTTTGTTTGTTTGTTTATCACTGGAAACCTCAAGTTGTTAACTATCACTTCAAATGGAATTGACTCTGTTAAAGTAAGAGTTAGAAAAAGATGTATCTTTGACCCTAGAAGGCGAAGCTTATCTAGCAGCTTTTTGTACATATTTCAGGCATTGGCCATCAAATATGCGGCCACGGAATACGGTGCATGTACCATCTTGTCATAGGGAATTGATCCCCCATCTTCTTGTAGCTTCACTGCATGTGAGGTTGGGTATGCTACATGCTAAATGCCAATTTTATTAACAAGTAGAAAATTAAATGCGAGTAACCTCATAAAAAAAAATCAGATTGCAAATGAACTAAATTAGAAATGGAATACTTTATCACTATTTCCCCCCCTACTGTACAGTGTTGCTACTATCTTTATTACACAAACACATATGCGTTCCTGTTTCATTTTCTTCTTATCTTGAAAAGACCAAGAATGCCTGCGGTCCCACAATATGTGGTGTTTTGTGTTTTCTTCTGCTTTAATGTTTTAGGTTGGCCACCTCACAGAACTCTGCGGGGTCATCGAAACAAAGTCACCTGTTTGCTGTATCCTCACCAGGTCTCCTCTCGTTATGATCAAAGATACCTGGTCTCAGGTGGTGTAGATTTTTCGGTCATTATCTGGGACATCTTTTCTGGAGAAATGAAGCACATCTTCTGTGTGCATGGTGGAGAAATCACTCAGCTTTTGGTTCCTCCAGAAAATTGCAGTGTAAGTTAATGAACATCTCCTTGGCTTGTGCCTCTCTTTTAACACCAGGAGTCTTCAAACTTGACAGCTTTAAGACTTGTGGACTTCAACTCTCAGAATTCCTCCTCCAGTCATATTAGCTCAGGAATTCTGGGAGTTGAAGTCCACAAGTCTCAAAACTTGCCAAGTTTGAAAACCCTTGCTTAAGACTAATATAAAGAATAATATTTCAAGACTTGAAATTGTTTTGATGAAAATCTTTTTTATTATTATTAGTCTACCTTGTGTTTATAAACTTTTATTTTATTTTCAAAAATTTGAATATCATTTTGAATGGTAGTGTAAAGGACAGTATCAGTGGTGGGATTCAAATTTTTTTACTACCAGTTCTGTGGGCGTGGCTTGGTGGGCGTGGCTTGGTGGGCATGGCTTGGTGAGCATGGCAGGGGGAGGATACTGCAAAATCCCATTCCCTCCCCACCCCACTAACCTGCTTTTCAGCTCCGTTCTGTGCAGGGCAACCAAAGAAGACCCAGCCGATCAGCTGGGATTGGGGTCAGTCAGAGGTGGTATTTGCCAGTTCTCCGAACTACTCAAAATTTCCACTACTGGTTCTCCAGAACTGGTCAGAATCTGCTGAGTACCACCTCTAGACAGGATGCAACAAAGTGGGCTGAAAGATGGGCAGCTCTATAAATGTTTTAAATAAATAAAACAGAAAACCATAAAGCAGAAGATCCAAACTACCATTTAAATACAAATAGTTTATTATGCATACACTCACTCATACCTTCAGACGTGACAGAATAATTTGTCCAAATTGTGAGGTCATTGCGAACTTAAATTCCTGAGTAATTCAATGTTTAAATTGTGAACTGGAGTGCAATTACACTTTCATATTTGTAATTTAGGAAATGTTGCAATAGTAACAAAGGGACTAATGGGAATAAATGCGCACAAATATCTATTAGTGGAAAATAATAAATAAAACTATTTGAAATCATGATACAGTTTAGACCATTTTACACAGAACTGTATATTTGGAAAATGGTTTAAAATATATATATAGTACCAGCAAAGGAGAATATTTGTAGCTCAGGGATGAAATGAGGGGTCCTTGGTGGTCTCTGAGCTTGCTTGTTTTCTTGCAGATATTGCTTTAACTAGGTAACATCAGTGCTAGTAAGGAGTGCTGTTTGCTGTGAGTTTGTATTCTGGTGCCTTGTCTATGAGGATGGGAGCGGTCTTAGAGATTCTTTGGATGGGCTGTTTATTAATAGCTCTTTAGAAATTTCTTGATTGGAGTATTGCTTGCTTGATTGTTGGTCTGAAGATAAGCTTGGAGTTAATTTATGTTGATCTGAGTGCTGATTACTGGTGGAGAGGTGCTGGAATCTTTTTCTTTTGGGGACTGTTTGATTGTCTCTTTTGCATGGTCTATAGATGTTGTTAATGTCTATGTGTTTATTGATGGCCAGGCTTCTAGAAATTCCCTGGCATTATCTGCTACAATGCCCTACCAGTCAATGACTACTTCAGTTTCAACCACAACAGTACAAGAGCACACAACAGATACAAACTCAATGTTAACTGCTTCAAACTTGATTGCAGAAAGTATGACTTCAGCAACAGAGGGGTCAATGCCTGGAATGCACTACCTGACTCTGTTGTTACATCCTCTATCCCCCACTCCTTTAACCTCAAACTAACCACTGTTGACCTCACCCCATTCCTAAGAGGTCTGTAAGGGGCGTGCATAAGTACACGATCGTGCCTACCATCCCTGTCCTATTGTCCCCATTTATTCATACCTATTTCCTGTATTCGTACTCATGTTGATGCTTATATCTATTATCTTGTAAGCGATTGACAAATCAAATAAATAAATAAATTTTGGGACTTTTAAGAGAGTACCAAGGACCCTCAAAATACAGTATATTGAAGGATTAAGTGTTCATACTGTGGTAATTTGTGATTTATGGGCTTTAAGATTAGAGAGGGTAGTTGATGGAAACCGTGATGTAACCATAGAGAGGGAATACATAAAATAAAATATGTATCTATAAGTGTTCTCAAGAATACTAGAAGCTGTTTCTTTAAAAGTACCTCCTCTCCTTCCCTCCCCTTCTCTTTCCTATCTTCTTCCCCCTCTCCTCCCATTTATTTTCCATATTTCATTTTCACTTTATTATTGCTCCTCTTTATTCTTCTTTCATTCAAAGTTATTGCTTTTATTTCTGTTGAAAAACTTCTTCAATAAAAATTGCGTTTTAAAAACGTTCATACTGTGGTAGGTAGAATTGAAGCTTTTTTTTTTTTTCTCGCCACACAATTTGCCCTAATTTACTCCATAAGGAAAGAAAAACTTATTTCAAGGTTGTAAAAGATTTACCACTAATAAAAGGATGATCGAAGATAACCGTTTTCTCATTTTCAGTCAAGAGTGCAGCACTGCGTGTGTTCTGTGGCCAGTGACCACTCAGTAGGACTTCTAAGTTTACGTGAAAAGAAGTGCATCATGTTAGCCTCCCGGCACCTTTTTCCTATTCAAAACATAAAGTGGAGACCTTCGGATGACTATCTCATTGTGGGTTGTACAGATGGTTCTGTATATGTATGGCAAATGGATACTGGTGAGTTACCTATGTGCGAAGGACTTGGAAAAGGATTGTTTTTTTTTTAATGATGTAGAACAGTGGTCTCCCAACTTTTCTAGCTTGGCAGATCGGTGGAGGCGAGGGAGAGGGAATGGTTTTGCATGCGTGCATGCGCCACTTTCAAAACGCACTCATGCACGCTCACTCACCACTTCTGTGCCCCAGTTCCGAACGGGCTGCAGCCTGGCACCAGGTCATGGCCCAGAGGTTGGGGACTCCTGATGTAGAAAACGATTCAGTGCTACTAATTCAGTCTTATATTAATGAAGGAGTTTCATCCCTATTGTTATTTTTTTCAAAGAAATCTCTTTTCGGAAATTTCCTTGCAAACTCTCAGGGTTCCAGGTAACAGGCCCATATCAAGCAAAACTCCGAGGCAGATGAATTCCTCAAAGAATAGCGTTGTTGGATATATCATATTGGCACCTATTTAAAAATAAACATTTTTCCATCAACCCCAAAACAGTCAGTCACAAGGTCCAATCACGTCGCTGTCTGGTGGTTTGGTGACATCACTCCTCCTTCCTCTGGCCAGGCGTGAGAACGTCCTTGGTTCCCAAGAGAAAAGATTTTATTTTGACTACACTACCCCAGCTATCTCTAATCCCTCCCTCCCTATCCCTCAGCTCCAGTGTGGCAGCACTGAAGCTCCAAGATGGCTCCAGCCAGGCCAGCTTCAGGGTTGACACAAAACTAACAATGCCTTTCTAATACAAGATAAGAGAAGGAAGTCAGGTGTATTTTTTTTCTTTGACTTCAGACACATATTTCTTGCTTTGCCTTGCTAAGTCTTAACAAGGCAAAGGAATTTGTCCCTGAACTTTAATAACGTTTTTTCTTTTAAACAATGCAGATAGGCCTCGCTTAACGTCCATTCGTTCAGTGACCCTTTAAAGTTATGAACTTGATGAAAAAAAAATGGAATTGCAACCAGTCTTTGAACGTAGGACTGTTGCATTGTGGTCACATGAAGTTCAAGCCAATTATGACCTCCCTCTGCCCATCCCCCCCCCCACACACCTGATCTTCATAGTTTTCTCCTGCTTCTAAGTTAAGCTCACCGTTCTTGGCCTTGTGTGAGGACACGCTGCGGCTCGGGGGCTTTTTACCACACTGTGACTCTGGGACTGCTTCCAGCTTCACATCCCCACTCCTGTAGCCATCCTCAGCTGTAGCCATCCTCAGGTCACCAATGCACTCTTGTGCAGTCTCACTCAGCCCCATGGTGCTCGTGCCACACCTTGCCAGTCGTCCGTGTGCTTTCAGCACATTCTCCCCTCTGCATTCCTGCTGCGCCTCACTGGCCATGCACACACACTTGGGTTAATGACCCACAATTGTCACTTTCTGGTCGAAATTCTGGTCCCAATTATGATCATTAACCAAGGACTACCTGTATTCACTGAAGAACTATAGAAACCCGCTTGACGTAGTGATTAAGATACGAGGTTAGAATGCAGGAGACTATGAGACTCCTCACAGGACTTGTAGAAACATGCCTTTTCTGTCACAGTGCCTATTTTCTGGAACAGGGGTCTCCAACCTTGGCAACTTTACGACTTGTGGACTTCAACTCCCAGAATTCCTCAGCCAGCATGTGCTGCTGAGGAATTCTGGGTGTTAAAGTCCACAAGTCTTTGTGGTTAAAATCCACAAGTCCACAAGTTCCTTGTTCTGGAACACCTAAATCTCCTAAATCAGATTGGCTGAGAATCAGGAAGTTAAATGACCCACTGAGAAGTTTTTTGTTGATTTTGTTTACCCTCAACAACCACTATAGATTTTTTTCCCCTTGCTTGTTAATTTGTTGTTTTTAATTGTCTTTATTTTGGTGGCTGCCTACCACCTTTGCATTTGCAAGATGGGTGGCCTTATAAGTAGAATGAATGAAGTTTTAGAATTCACCAAGAAATTAAATTCCAATCTTCCATCTGTAAACCCACTTCCTTTGAATGCTTTTATTTGAATGGAGTTCCGTAAAGCAAATTGTTTCTGGACATAAGGAAGTTGTTTTGCTTGCATGATAAAGTATGCAATAGCTAAGCTGTTTTTTTTTTTTTTTAGCCTTTTCTTTTTTTGTGTGGTTTTTTTTTCAGGTGCACTTGACCGATGTGTAATGGGAATAACGGCAGTTGAGATCCTGAATGCTTGTGACGAAGCTGTACCCGCTGCAGTTGATTCTCTCAGCCATCCAGCTGTCAACTTAAAGCAGGCTATGACCAGACGTAGCCTCGCTGCGCTAAAAAATGTGGCTCATCAGAAACTTCAGACCCTCGCTACGAATCTGTTGGCATCTGATTCCTCTGATAAAGTAAGGTCTTAAATTGTTCTTTTAAGTAATTGCTGGCTGCATCTCAATACAGTGCAGAAATGCCTCTTTCTCTGTGCTAGTGAGAGGACAGTCTTGATGAAAGTTGCAAATGGAGAAGCTGAAAAATTCATCCTTCTTTTCCCCTTTAGTCCAGCACAGGCAATTTTCCATTTTTAGAGCTTTGCCCTTTGACCTAGAATTCCAGGAATGATATTTTTTACGATCAGGTTCCATTTTTTTTTTATAATCTGAAATCATTTTAAATCCCTTTATAGAACCTAATTACCAAACACAATCAAGCAGACTTAAACATACATTCTGTGTGTTTGCACGCACATGCATATGTATCCGTGCACACCTTCAAGTCACAAAATCCATGTAGTTTTCTTGGCAGCATGTTCTAAAGCAGGGGTCCCCAACCACCGGGCCGCGGACCGGTACCGGTCCGTGGAGCACTCTGTACCGGGCCGCAAAGGAAAAAAAATATATGGCGGCTTTCTTCGCCTTCGGTGAATGCTGCTGGGATCGGGGATCAAGGACACAAATGAGAGAAGGGGAGGGAGGAAGCAACCGAAGCCTGTCCTGCTCTCTGGCTCAGTGGCTTCGGCTTCCTCCCGCCTCATTCCTCTCTCAGTCGCTCTCTCGCTCCTCCACCAGCCCAGGAAGAAACTGCTTCAAAGAAGCCGGGGGGGTGGTGGTGGTGGCTTTTCCTGTCGGCGCAGCTCCTCCGAAGTGCCCGTTTCACCCCCACCCCGCCGCCAATCAATCCAGGTTCAATCCAGTGCTCCGTTCTGCCTGCCTGCCTGCCTTCGTTTCTGGTAGTTTCGGAGCAGCTTCGGCTGAGAATAATAACTATTCGCCTCTTTTTCTCAGTCGAAGCTGCTCCGAAACCACCAGAAACGAAGGCAGGCAGGCAGAACGGAGGATTGAACCGTGGGCGGCGGGGTGGGGGTGAACGGGCGCTTTGGGGAAGCTGCGCCGACAGGAAAAGCCACCCTGCCGGCTTCTTTGAAGCAGTTTCTTCCTGGGCTGGTGGAGGAGTGAGAGAGCGACTGAGAGAGGAACGAGGCAGACACCTGAGGGATGAGGCTGAGGGAGGGAGGGAGACACCTGAGGGATGGGGCTGATGAAGGCAGGGCCGAGAGGCGAGGCTTCTAAGCCGTCCTGCAGGGACTATCTGTCGCTCAGGGTTGCAATGAGGAGGCATTGGCGTTCCCTGAACTTGGTGGTTTGCTGGCAGACGTTTTATTACCCGACTAGGTAACAACATCAGATGTTACCTAGTCAGATAATGAAACGTTTGCAAGCAAACCACCAAACTCGGACACCCCCACCCCCCCCGGTCCTTGAAAAAGTGTTTCTGAGTGAAACTGGTCCCTGGCACAAAAAAGGTTGGGGACCACTGTTCTAAAGTATCTTGCGATTGCTTTCTTCCTAGGACTAGTGAGACTATTTGGCCCAACATGTGCCTAAGGAAGGATTAGAACTCAGACTAATCTCTGTAGCACTACGGCAAACTGGTCTTCAAAACACATTTTAACAGAAATAAACATTACACCATCCTTAGCTAAGTTATATTCCTGTTCATCTAGAATAGACTAGGTTTAGAAGATGCAATAAGTATAGTCCTCTGTTTTTCTTGCTCTTTTTCTTTATTGTTTCATTTCCAGATATTTCAAAGGCAAAACCTTTTCTCATTTCCCTAGAGAGGACTGATGTCTTGCGGTTTATGGGAACAAAATCATGTCACATTCAGGAAGGTCTTCTGAAATTTAGAAATCAATTAACACTCCATAGTACTATGAAGGCAGGCCGGTTGCACTGTAGTCGCCTTGGGAAGAAATACATCCATTTAACACTTTAAAATTTTGGCTATAGATTACAGACTATTGATTGTCCAGAAGAAAATGTAAATGTCCAGAAGAAAACGTCTTAAACAATCTGTGTTTAAACATATTTGGGCAAATTTTAACTTTCCAGAGCTTTATATCTAGCTTCTGATATTTTGCTAAAATCAGAACAATGTGGGAAATGTAGAAATACAGAGGGTAGAATTTAAAATTCTGAGTTAATGTGTTGTATTGTCATAAAGAAGTTTGATAAAAATCTAAAATAAATCCACATGTCCCTTTTCCTTTTACTTGTATTTTGCTGTCCGTTGTCCCTTCATACCCTATAGGTCAAAATTTACATGCTGTTTTATGAACTTACATTAGTAAATTGTTGCATGAGCTCAATCCTGTTAAAAAATAAGTTAATGAGTACAAGAAAATATAAATAGACTTTGGGATATAAATACACTTTTGAGTACCTGTATTTTTTAGAGAAAAACACCCCTTATTTATTCTTCTAGTCTTTCAGTTGTCCAGACAATAGAACTATATAGCAGTGTGCATTTCTTTTGTATTTCACATGGTTCAAACCTCTGGATTTCAAGAGTCCCAACTTCTAGGTGTCCCGGCCTGCCTAAAGAATCTGAAGAAACTAGCTATAAATCAGATGGTTATAAGGGAGTGGAAAGAATCATAAATAAGGCTTGGCCTCTGGCAGAACAAGGCGCTGTCAGTACCATGGACAGCTCACCGTGAAAGATGACAGGTTGGGTTCATTCTTAGGAGAGTAGCTGCCAGCTGAGACTTCAAGAAGGCTAAGCCCCACTAATAAAAACATACTGTAAGCATAAGCAGTGCCCTGCTGGATTGGACCATTGGCCACCTAGTCCTACACTCTCTTTTACAAGTGGGCAATTAAATGCACCAGGAAGCCAAGTAACTGCTCTCAGAAGATGGCTTTCGGAGGCAGTCACACTGCCATGAAGACTAAGAGCCATTGATCCCCATGACTTCCATGAATTGATCCAGTCTTTTTTTTTAAAGCCAGTCAAGCTAGTATCCCTCACTGGAATAGAATAGAATAGAATTCTTTATTGGCCAAGTGTGATTGGACACACAAGGAATTTGTCTTTGAAGCATATGCTCTCAGTGGTGGTATTCTACCGGTTCGGCCTGGTTTAGGCGAACCGGTAGTAAAAAATGCTATATTTCCGATGATCAGCTGTGCCACGCAATTTAGGTTAGCTAGAAAGCAGGAAATCATTGGATTTTCTTGCTTTCTAGCTAATCTAAATCGTAAGACACAGCTGATTCTCCCCCCCTCCTCGCTGTTGTACTTACCTTGCCAGGAGGCTTCCCTGAGGCCCAGTAGGCAAAAAATCGGGTTGGGGGGGGTGCTGCAAAAGGAAAAACAAACACCTAGCCACTCCCATCCAGTCACATGACCACCTGGCCACGCCCACAGAACTGGTAGTAAAAATATTTTGAATCCCACCACTGGCTCTCAGTGTACATAAAGGAAAAAATATATATTCATCAAGAATCATAAGATACAATACTTAGTGATAGTTGTAGGTTACTAATACACAATCAGATCATACTAGGAAACAAATGAAACAATATAAATTGTAAAGATACAAGCAAACACGGTTATCGTGTTAAAAAAAAAATCTTATATAATCCCCTAGTTTTGTCCTTCCTTAGGCTTAAAGAGCCTGGCCTTTTCTGCTATGTCTTTGAGGGTCTCCCAAGTCTTTGATGGCTTATCCTCAGAATTGGGGCTATTGGATATTGGAAGAGCAACATCCTCAGGTTAGACAGCAGAAGAGAGAGCCCTGAGGACAATTGTTGACTGATCTTTTGAATTTCAAAGTCTTCCTAGAGATTATCTCCATAGTCAGTCCTTCAACCCCCGCTGAGCTGATAGCACTTCTGCATTCAGTCTTTGCTTGCAGGTGTGTGTTTTAACTCCGCTCTAGAGAGGTGGAATTCTAAAGAAGGATCTGGGGACTTTCTGAAACATAAGCAAATGCATAAGCTATAGCTTTGAATTAAAAAAAAAAGGTTGCAAGTTATGTCCACAGCATTTTAGCTTAGGCTGTGATAAACTATCTGAAACCCTCGAAAAGGGTTGTCCTGAGCTTGACAGACCCAAGATTTGTTGAAATTTAGTCTGGAGTTCATCATGTTCAGCGTTTTCTCTGATTCTGGAGACATAACACCATTCTGATCCTTTTCAGATATTTAATTGCTTTGCCTGCAGGGGCTCAGACTGTGCTTCAAGCAGTGGGTGTTAAGCATTACTCAAACTTAAGAGCATCATTAAATTACTAGCATCTTAAATAATTGACTCGGTTCAGCAGTTGGTTTGACCTAAGCTGCTTATCACAATATTGAATTAAAATGTAATTATTCCATTGCAGCTGATTCTTCCTTTCTTTGGATGCAGTAAAGGGAATCTTTTGTGTTCCAATAGAAATCTTTAAGCAGTCTCAATCTCACTGAGAACATCTTTTCCTTTCAGGTTTTCCATTTTGGTATTGTTAGACTTCTGTATAAGCAGTGAGTTACTTTCAGCAGATTTTTTTTCCACGTTGCATTAATTCAATTAATTTGTTCAGTTTGGATTGTCTGATTCCAAATTGTACTGAGTGGCCCGCAGTGTAACAAAAAAGATTAAAAAAAAACAAATTAAAAAATCAGCAAAACAAATAAGAAGCAGATAACAAACAAGGTGGTGATTCCAACCAACATCAAAACTCAGGAAGGTTTTTTTCCAACTACCCTAATCCTCGACTTCTAAGATTAGCTGAGTCTTCAAGGCCCTATCAGGGTTCCAAGTAATGCATCCCTTTCAATGAGAACTCCGAGGCAGGCATATTCCTCAAATAACATTGTATTGGGACATATCAAATTGGCACAGACTTGGTGGAAATCCGACTCTAAGTTCCCGCTGGTTTTACACTCAATTAAAAGTAAAGCATTGTCACTTGCCCTCCAGAGTCTCCAGTCATATGGTCCAATCAGCATGTAGTCCAGTTGCTAGGTGACCTCAGTCTCCACCTTTCGAACACCTGCACAAACGTCCTTGATTCCCAGAGGAAAGAATTTTATTTAGGCTTCAATACCCCAGCTACCTCTACACCCCCCTCCCTGTCCCCTTAACTC